GTAAAGGATAATTATATTGTTACTGCATTTTTTGAAAGCTACTTTCTCAATTAGCAGTAAATAAAAATGACTTTAACATAGCATCTTCTCATGAATATTTACACAATAGAATTTAAATTTTGTTTGCACACATGCTGCAGAACTGTTTATTAGTGTTGCTTAGGTGAAATCTTAAAATCAGTTCTTTTCAACCTTGTGTCATTTGGTGAGATCAATAATACATAAAACCAGAAAAGAAAAAGGCTATGTAGATCTTTTAAAAGAAAAAGCAGAGTAAATAGAAAATAATTTGTTGCGGAGCTTCAAATACTTCATATATGAATGCAAAATGTCTGAGTAATTTCAGAGATTACAAAATAACAACACGGAATATGGGATCCTTCAAAGTGATGAAGATAGTCACAGTAAAAATTTCTGAAGTGATAAGGTAGAAAAATGATGACATTACAACCAAATGCAATGTATCTTAACACACTGCTCATCACATGAAGGTTCTGTGTGGATAGAAATGCTTTCTATGGGAATTACGATTTCATTATACAAAAAGTTACTAAGCTATTTGATAAACTCTTCCATGCCAAATGAGTGTATGTCTACCATATTGGCTGTACTTGCCTTAAGAAGTCTCATTATTCCTAGTATTTAAAAGAAGTTGGAAGAGTAAATGAAGAAAGCCCTTCATTCTGCCAAACTTGATGCTCTTTTTCTCTCTCTTTGTAGCTAGACTTATCTTCCAAGGAAGAAGAAAAGAAAAACCTGTTCTACAAAATGTAGGAGGAAGAAATGGTACATGCTTGCATTTTGAAAGCACAGAGAACTGTTCTGTGTGGGAGTCAGTTGCCCACCTGCAGGCTCTGGAGTTCCTTGTGCCTGGTAAGACCAGCTTGAGTAACCAGTCCACAGAAGCTGAGTTAGATTTTAAGATGCTACAAAATTAGCACAATGGGCACTAACTCGTGATGAAATGCAATAACTGAATGTACGTTGAATTTGGCTACAAATTCATGACTATATCCTCTATGTAATCTCTTATTAAAGATTTTATCTGAGTGTTTAGATCTGGAAGAATTATATCCATGGAGCTATTAGTATTCCTGTCTGCTCCTGCTCCCCAAAGATTAGACTATACATTCACACATATTTGTAATTTGATTTAATTTTTAATTATAGATGTAAAGTTGCTCTCTTTTGTTATGTCAAATAAGTATCTTCCTAGAACAGAATCCAGAAGTTAAAAAAAAGTAGAGGGAGGGACTGGAGAGATGGCTCAGTGATTAAGAGCACTGACTGCTCTTGCAGAGGACCCGGGTTGGATTCCCAGCACCAACACGGCGGCTACAAATCGTCCTTAACTTCAGTTCCAGGGGAATCCGAAGCCCTCTTTTGACCTCCACGACATTGCACAACACGGGTCCCCTCACATACATGCAGGCAATACACTCATACACATAAAATAAAAATAATAAAATATTTTTTTAAAAGTAGAGGGAAATAAAAATAGATTCACCTGCTCCTACAATGCACCTATGTCTTTAAAAAAAAATCTGTGACTTTTCCCCCATAGTGTGAGATTTTTAAAATGGAGGTCTCTTACTTGTCTTATTTCTGTTCTAGCCCCTTCATGTGGAGGCCTCTGTCTACTCACCTGTGTTTATGGCTTTGGGCCTGAGACACTTGGTAGCAGGTTATGGTAGGAGAGAGAAGATAGTAGAAGGATAAAGAGTATAAACTATGAAGTCATTATTTTAGCCCCACTCCTGATTTTTTGATGAGATAACCATGAGATAAGAAGAGTTTCTTAACCAAGTCTCAATTTACATATTTGTGAAATGGACCTGACAGTTGAGTTTGGTAGCCTTATAGGTGTGACAGGTAAGTGAAATAAGGTGCACAAAGCTTTTAATGAAAGTTTGTTCTACAGAGGGTGCCACTGATGCACAGTAGTATGGCTGACGTAACATGCCAAAATGTTATGATAAAGTTTTGTCACATGTATTCCAATTATATATTTCCTCCCAAGAGTCTATTTTCAGAATTTATAGTAGGACAGAACAGATCCTTATACTAAATGGCCACTGTATAGGTAAACAGATATGCATGTTGTGAACTGATATGTAACAAGGTTCTCCCTCACTGACATTCAACTTATAATAAGATGGCATTTCTGGAATTCTGCTGGATTCAGAGCCATTAATTCTTGAATGTAGCTAAATTTTTGTAACAGTAGTGTCACAGGCAAGAGTTAGAATAATAATTTAAAAGATGCTGTGGTCATGGATCACATATTCAAGGAAACATTGAAAAGAAAGTACAAAGCTGGGCAGAACCTGTACAATGTTCTACTTTGTATTTATAGATATTTAAGTATTTAAGGTTAAAGTTTGAGAAGCAGAAACAAAGACTGAAATGCAAAGTGTATTTATGAAGAATATTGCTTTCCAATGTCCATTTTCACCCTAACATTCCATTTCCTATGAAGTTAGATTTTTTCTAAAATAATGGTTAAACCATGTCTATCTCTTTACATTTTAGAAGCCACAGTTCATGAAAAGTGCTCTCTTGCAGAGTTGTACTGACATGATCAGTTTTGATAATGATATTATTTAATAATTTCTTGAATTACAAAACATTTTTGGAGTGGTTCTGTCTTTAGAAAACATGCATTTAAAGACAGTTCTAAAACATTCTAGCCCTCAAAAAGCTGAGATCTTAAAGTTTTATAACAATTAGCTTTTTTCAGTGAATATACATAATGCCAGCTCTCTGCTAAAAAAAGTACATATGGAGGATGTGGAATACACTCATTCAACTTCAGAATGTTTTACAAGTGAAAGAAGGTGAGGTAGGATTTTACATCGAAGGAAGCACCATCTAGAATCTAAGATGCAGGCATGAGGTAGCACAATTTTATATAACTTCATTTCTGAAATTTACTATTTTTAATTCATCCTATTTTTGTTTTGTATACACTTTTATTATGGTATCAAGCTTTCTTATCACTTATGAAAATACCTAAGCAGAGTTTTTTTATGTCAAGCTGGTTATTTACTAATAACTTATAAAACATTGTCATAGTTATCTTTCACTGTTAACTTGACACAGTTGGGAAAACGGAACCTCTGTTAAGGAACTTCCTCCATCGAATTGGCCTGTGGGCATGCCAGTGGGTATTTTCTTCACTGCTGATTGATGTAGGAGGGCCTAGCCTACTGTAAGAAAGCTAGCTAAGCAAGTCAGAGGAAGCAAGCCAATAAGCAACATTTCTCCATGGTCTCTGCTTGAGTTCCTGCCTCCAGGTTCCTGACTTGAGCTCCTGCCCTGGCTTCCCTTGATGGTGAACTGTAACATGTAAGGTATAATAAGCCCTTTCTTCCACAAGTTGCTTTTGGTCACTGTTTTATCACAGCAAAAGAAAAAAAAAAACAAACTAGGACAGAAATCAAAATATATTTCAATATCAAAATACATGAAATTTTGATTAAACACAGCAGACATTTTTAAAAGATCTCTTATGTTTTTTTCTAAAAGTATGCTGTTATACTGTAACTTGAAAATATCACTCCTTATTTTTGTATTTTAGGATTTTTTTGCATTTATTTATTATTTATTTTTCTTTTTCAAAAAATAATTTGATTTATTATTTTTTTAACAGACCACGGAGGAATTTTGCTTACTGGCTCGCCCCTCTGCTTTGTGCTCAGCCTGCTTTTTTTTCCCTAGTTCTTATGTATTCTTTTTTTTAAATTTAATAACCATATGATTAGAAGAAGCATTTCATTACAGCTTTAACGTATTCAATAACAATTTCCAAAGCAAGGATACATCTCTTTCAAAACTGGGTGTAAATTTTTAGGTTCACAGTTGAATTAATATAGTTATACAATGTTGAACTCAGTATAAACCCTGTAAGACAAAGAATTGAATGAGGTTTTAACCTTTAAAAAAGATCTCCATTTCCTTTTAAAAAATATACTGTTTCATACAGAAAAACTCATTTTTAATGCTACTAACACTTAGATGTTTGCACATGCATTTCTAGTCTCTATGTATCTGATTATGACTAGTCACAGTCAGTTACAGTGAGATCCTTGGCACCTGAGCATGGATATAAAGTCATCAGGTAGATTTCAATGGTAATGTTTTTCATATCTATTAATTATTAAGGAGCTAATTTTTATGCTTTGAGGAATTCTTTTTTTTTCTTTATTTATACACACACTTCCCAGGTGAATTCATTATTGTTCATCTTACCTACATTTTATTAAAAAGAGTTGGTCTAACACCAGCCTCTGCCTACAGATAAGATAATCTGCCTACTAATTCCGTGCAGAAGCTTCATTGAAACCACTCCAGTAACACTTCCAAGCCCTAGCAAGTCTCTCAGCTGTGATCTGGCTGCACTGAGGCATCATATGTTCCTCCACACGCCTAGGAGGCGTTTATTTCTGAGCAATAATTTGGAGAACTCTGCTCTTTCCCTGCTTGGAACATTATATCAGGATCAGCAGCTCTATGAGGTACTGCTTCTGTGACCCTGCTGCTGCCTTTGACCGAGCTACAGCTGTCACATTTTAGGTTCTCTTATCTACTCTGTTGCATCCATGAGGCTTGAAGTCCAAGCTTAGTTATGATGGAAAAGAAGAGAGCCAGACTTGACTTAGAGAAAGTCACTCACATAAAATAAGATCTTGGGTCATAGCTCTCTGTGTGCTGTGTCTCCAGAGAAGGTCTCGGTAGACATGGTGAGAATGCCTTCTCACAGCCTGCTTTCTTTCAGTCTTGACAAAGGGCCTAGCTGCAATTTCCCAGTAATTATCACCTTTGGACTTTTGAACCCTGTTGACAAATATGTCTTACTATTATTAAGTGTTGAAGCTTTGAACAAAATGTATATGCTCTTATTGAACACAAAAAAAGTATGCTAGGAAAGAAAATGAAGCCCATAGGTAAATTCTTTCTTAATCTGAAAAAACTAATCCATTTTGCACACTTTTACTTACACTGAGGAAGAGTGGGACTATTAATCACAATGCAGCTAAGCTTCCACTGTCAACGGGGCATTTTCATATTGCCTGAAAGCCTCTTTCTAACCCAGGAACAAAATAAAGACATGATTATTACAGATGTCTGTTGATATGCTCAATGCCACTACTGAATTATACATTCCCAATATAACAGTTCATTTGTTAGAGTCAAAGTCATCAAAAATAACAGATTCATATAATTGTGTATAATATAAAACAGGACTTCACATCTTCAAGACAGGGAACACATAAGTTTTCTGGTAAACAAGTATTACTAGAGAGTGAAGAAATAAATTTCATGACTCCACTCCTATCCTCAAATAAATATGAAAAACAACATAGAAATAGTAAACTGGAGCTTAACCTTAGTTACTTTTTACCATCCTTGGAGAGAAACTTGTAAGAGAAAACACCACTGCTCATCTTCAAACAACTTGACTTTTGTATGTATGTCGTACATAGTAATTACTTCTAAAATCAAGAGCACTGTCAAAGGACTCCTTGTCACTGAGAGTCCTCTCTTGTGTCTTGTGGAGAGGGTTGCACATGAACTTCATCTATCCATGCAACAAAGACATACCTCTTAAAGGACCGGTTGTGGGTGGAAGAACGTTTTGCTCAGAATTTTAGCCTTTTGGAGCAATCATTTTTAGAGCAGCGGAACATACATGTTCAAAGCAACGTCAAAGGAATAAAAAAATAGATAAAATTATGAATTAGGGTAAAAATGTTAAAACTATCAGGGGTTGGGGGTATAACTCAGTGCTTTGCATAAGCATGGCCCTGAAGTTCACTCCTTAGCACTACAGAGAAGAGAAGATACTGTGTAAAATTCTTTCACACATGGGCTATTCATTCTTACCTGGAATGAGAAAATTTAAGAAATAATTAAGGGGGCTGCAGAGAAGACTCAATGGTTAAGAGTACTGACTGCTTTTACAGAGGATTGGGGTTTGATTCCCAGCACCCATATGGTGGCTGACAGCTGTCTGTAACTCCAGTTCCAGGGAATCCGACTCCTTCTTCTTACCTCCTTAGGCATTGCATGATATGGGTACACTTATACACATACAGGTATTACAGTCATACATATAAATAATTTTAAAAAGCTATATTAAAATGTGCAACCTTAAAACCATTTCCTTTTAGTTTTATTCCCCCACATGTTTGTTTCTGTTTATTCATATTAATTTTGTAGATCATCTAGAAGAATTCAAACAATGCATGTCTTTCATGACCTCACAAAGGCATGACATACTTCTCTTACTAGATTTTGTTCCCTTTTCTTTCATGCTGCTACAATTACCTAGACAATATTTCCTTCCTTCCTTGAGGTTATTCAATTCTCCTACTCTAAAGCTGATAATTCTGTAATCTCATTCACTAAGCAACTAAAACCTGACAGAATAGCTGAGACCAAATCCCCAAAGACCATAATCTGAAACATCAAGCAAGAATCAAGTCGTATCAATTCCAAAATCTCATATTCACGAAACTTTAAAGGTTTCTGTAAATGTGAGGAGACTCTTCTTAGTCTTGAGACTTTCTTTCCGAAAGATAAGTTAGACATTATTTAATCATCCTCTCTTTATCATTAAGTTCTTCTAAGCAGAGGATAAAGAAGAACATATAAAGAAACAAAACTGTAGGGAAAGGAACAAAAATAGAGAGAATGTAGTTATTGGAGTAACTGTAAGGCCAGAAGGCAGTGTGGGCTAAGGCCTTAAAGAGGACATGGGTAGAGGTTGGAGAGGTGACTCAGGGTTAAGGACACTGGCTGCTCTTGCAGAGGACTCAGGTTCGGTTCCCAGCACTCGCATGACAGTTAATACCATCCTTAACTTCAGTTCCAGGCGATACTCTGCTCTCTTCTGACTGCCACAGGTATTGCATGACATGGGTGCACTTACAGTCATGCAGGCAAAAGACTCACTCACATAAAATAAAAAGATAAAATAAAAATTTAAAAAGAGGAAGTGGATAGAGAATAAAATAGCACTTTTAATGAAAGGCTAATTGATCCCTTTTTTTCTGTCGTCTGCACATCCCTTTTCAAGAGTATTTTTTACTATTTCCAAATCTTCATATTTGCAACATTGAGACTTATAGACAGTGAAGATTCAAGGGAAATTCTGGGCTAAGTTTGTTAGCGCATTGCATTCACAGGCTTAGAAACGATGTTCGCTTAGTTGCAGTTTGTAGCAGAAGGTCCGTTCATCTTTAGACTGAACACTTTAATGACCTTGTAACTTCATCCACTGATTTTGGAGAACATTTGCAGAAGACCCTCCAACCTCCTCCCTTACAGACTCTCAGGAGCCCTTTATCAAATCACCAAGTCCCTTAAGACAGGTTCTCTGCTCTCCCTCAAGTCTAGTTCTCAACATGTAGCTTGATTTCTAGCAAGGTCACATTTATTCTTATGCTCCCTAAAAGTTTGTGGAAGTAGTATTTCTGGAATTTTGTTTCTTTTATATTGGTGGCTGATAAAAACAATTTTTCTGTGGCGTATAGTGACACACCTTTAATCCCAGCACTGGAGAGGCAGAGATCCAGGCCAGCCTGGTCTACATAGTGAGTTCCAGTTGGGGCTACAGGGAGACAAACAAACAAACAACCTTCAAAAAACCTCAAACAAATAAACAAAAAACCTACAATTTTATTTTCTAAACTCAAATTCAGTTCTTCATGCAAGATATTTCTGACTCAGTGTCTCCCTAGCCATGTGGAGCAACTTTCCCCTTTTTGATGCTTCTGGGCTACTCACTGCACAGATACCCTAATGCAACCATGTGTCTGTGTGTCTGTCTTCCCAGCACATTAAGAGCTTCTTGTTTCCCAAGCTTTCATGATCTAAGATCAAGAATGGAGTTTGCCAGAAAAGAATCAATAAGGGCCGAGCTGAACATTTGACATCATTCAACATTTATACAACCCTCAAACAACACACGTTATGTAGAATATAATCTTCAGCAAAATATTTATGTGTGTTAGTTGTAAACTTCTCGTATATACATGTATATGCTCCAAAATTTATCATGAGTCTCCCATGAATCAAAAGAGAAAAGTCTGAAATAACACAAACTTAGAAAAACAGATGATATATGTTCTCCCTCACATGTGGATCCTAGCACCAAATTCTTATTTGTGAGTATGTATCCAGAGATAACTGTAGGAACCAGGATAATGATAAGGAAATAGGGAGGTAAAGGGGAGGTAAAGAAAGAACCTGAGAGAGAACAGTAGGAGGTAGGTAATACTAAGGGAGAAATGGGGCATTTAAATAGGAGCAGGGAGAAAGGGTTATACAAGGAACCTTGGGAATAAAGGGAAAGAAGGAGCTCAAGAGAGGTGGGACCATAGGGGACATGTATTATCAAGGGTGAAATGGGGAAAATGGGGACACTGTAAATGAGTAAGCCATAGTGGAAGGGTTATACAGGGAGAAAGAGGAGAGATAAATAATGCCTAGCTGGCTTTAAAAAACCAAAGGGAATCATATTAGCCCAACAACCTAAGGACAACTTACACATACACTATCTCTACATGAGTCCATGTGTACAGCTAAAAGCTACATAACAAGAAACAGTGCCAGACAGGAGAAACCTTCTTTTGAATTGTTGGCCAGGGTGGTCCAAGAGACTCCCCAAATTACTCAAGCTATTGCCACAGCCTTTGATGACCCCCCAGAACTTGAAGGTAAGACCCTACTGCCAAGGACAGAACATACTTCGGACACAGGATTTGGTGCAGTGGACCTGGAACTGACCTGGAAGCCACTTCCCCTGAAGACTAGCTCTCATAGCTTTGGAGAGTGCTGTGAAGGTGCCAAGGGAAAACATCAATCTGTTATCCAACACCAGCGTCAAGACCAAATAACTACATCAATGGCCAGCACAGAATATGACATTGGTAGTCACAGCACTTTCATCATTGGACTAAAAGCAACTCAATGGGAGTAAACTCAAGTGTGGTACTGTAAACATAACCAAATACACATGGCTGGAGAGGTCATATATATTAGAGAAAACCCCAAGACTGTCATATCCTTAGACTAATGTGATTTCTTACTATGTACAAAATATATGTATCCTTATATTTAAAGACAAATATCCCAGTGACCACTCATCAAAGAAACTCATTTTGCACCAGACAAAGACTATTACCAATTACCACAAGTGGTCACACACAGACATTGTCTGAATTGTCCAGGCCTAAATGACACATCTACAATGCAACCTCTATGCTTAAGGCTCATGGAACATAGAACAGGGGTAAAGAGGTCACTAATGAATCTCAATCCTCATTAATGAAGCTCCCCATATAACAGAAAGCCAGGAACACAAAAGGTCACAAATGGCCAAAGCATAGAGATCAAGAGTCTGCTAAATGTTGGTCCTTGGACAGGACTCCTAAATTAAGTTTCACCCACCCACATCTCAGGGGACATTGCAGAAGAGAGGGTGGAAAAGATTGTAAGAGCCAGGGAGGAGGTGCACAACCATATGGAAATAGAGTCCTACAAGCTCCTGTGCACCTATTCATATAAATCTACAGCAATGGTGTCAGCGTACACAAATCCCATGCAAACTCAAGCAGACTAAAACCCAGCTGAACTGGGAAAATGGACGCAGACCCCAGTCTTTGCTGAAGAAATATTGGCTACTGATCACTGCTGGATGAGGAAGAGCTGATTTTCATAAAATGAGGGCTCTAGATAAGCTGTCTAGACCTCAGTAGATGAACTTGCCCCTTAACAGAAACATTTGCTATTTCCTTTCTGGTGATTTCTTTTGAGACAGAGTCTTCCTGTAGCTGCAGCTGGCCTGGAACTCATTATGTAGACCAGGCTGGCCTTGAACTCAGAGATCCACCTGCCTCTGCCTCCTGAGTGCTGGGATTTAAAGTACGTGCCACCACGCCTGGCTTCCTTTCTGGTAATTTCAATATCTCCATTCTTAGTCATTCTTAACTTTTTAATACTAAAATTGTCATTACAGTGTTTCAGCATTTTCACCATGAATTAATTACAATTCATCATCAAATTTGAGTAAAAGGAGAGAAAGAATTCTTCCCTGGAAAGAAGGCAAATATGACAGAACTGATGGATTGTATCAAGCAAAGAAAAATTCTATCTTTTCTGTCTTATCTTCTCAGGATCATTTCATTGACAGTAAGTAGACCCAAGCAGGAATGGTATTCCCAGAAACAAAGAACAAGTGTCAGAAGCAAGCTTAGTTTTAATAGCCTTCAACCTCATTACCCCTTCAAGCCTTTCTTAATCTTGATTTAGTATGTGGGTGGTGTGCTTCATTGTTAGTGAAACCAAATTTCTGTAAATTTGTGGGACCAGAATCTCTTTACCTAGCAGTATGCCCTTTGCGCTATATCTGGATGGATGGGAAATTATACCACAGGATCATTATCAAGACACTAAGGCTTATTCAGGGGCTAGAGAGATGGCTCAGTCAAGAGCATGTATTGGTTTTGCAGAGGACCCGAGTTTGATTCCCAGCACTCATGTCTGTAACTCCAGCTCCAGGTTGCATGTTATATCTGTTTTAGAAGAAGAAATTAAGGCTTAAGCATATTTAGGAATGTGCCCAAGCTCACGTACAAAGAGACCAAACTCAGTTCTGGTTCAAAAGGTCCTCCTCACTGCTGCCAACCTGATCTGGACAAAGTGATACATGTGACTGTCAGTAGAGGGACTGATGTTTAAAAATGAGACTTTAATGTGTGCATAAAATTGCCATTATTGAACTTAGAACTAACAAAACAAAAATAGTAATTATAAGGAACAATTCTAGAAATAGATTTAAGAACAGAAATTGAAAGCAAATAGAAGGATGTTTTAAAACCACTGGCCAGAAACAGTCTCAGCACAGTGAGGAGTGAGATTAGGTTCATAAACACTTGAAGGAAAATTCAATTGAAGTGCAGAATAGATGAGAGGAGAGAAGTGGAATGGACAAACTGAAAACCATTCCAATGTTTGCAAGCCCACGGAACTGGAGTGGTAAAATAATCTGAAATGAGGTTGCTTTTGAGCATAGTGGGGATAAAATACTCAGTATTGATATCACTAGGATTTGCATTGCACACTTGGAGTAACATGGTGGCCCCCCAGTATTTACTCAGTATTCATATGAAGGCCCTGTGTTGTACACTTACAGTAACATGGCATTCCCTCCAGTCTTTTGCTTTGTGTGTGTGTGTGTGTGTGTGTGTGTGTGTGTGTGTGTGTGTGTGTAGGTTAGATGACAACTTATGGGAGTTGGTCTTCTCTTTCTACCATGTAAATCATGGGGATTCAACTCAGGTCTTCAGACTCGGTGGCAAGCACCTTTACCCACTGAGCCAGTCAGCCCTCAATCTTATTTTTTGAGACAGGAGTCTCTCACTAAACTTGAAACTCACTGTTTTGGCTAGGCTGTCCAGCCAAAGCTTTCCCAGGATCCACTTGCTTCCACTCCCTGATGCTGGGGTTAGAGGCACCTGTTGCAAGGCTTAGTTTTTAACCTGAGTCCTGGGCATTTGAATTCAGATTTTCTTGCTTGCACAACAAGTACTGTTACCTACTGAGCCATCTTCCCAGCCTACTTTTGTTTTATTGTGGGCAAATTAGTGTGGTTCGTGTTTGTATTTGTTATGTCAGGTGATTTAAGATATTGGATGATTTTTTTTTTGGTTAGGTGTCTAATTGAGTACTAGTATAATTAATTCTGGGGAGGTTTTATAGATTTGCCTCTTTAATTGATTCTGATAACTATCCCTGTTGGACTCTTTTCTGTTTGCTCAAAAAATGAATTTTTTGGCTTTATGCCCAGTAATGAATCACTATGGTATCCTAGAATATGTTAGAAACCAGTGCCTGGAACTGGAGAGATGGCTCAGCAGTAAAGATAGCTTGCTGCTCTTGTAGAAGACCAGAGTTTGGTTCCCAGCAACCACAACAGGCAGCTCACAGCTACCTGTAACTCCAGCTCCAGAGGATATAACACCCTCTTTTGACCTCTGTGGACACACGCACACACGCACGCACGTGCGCACACACACACATACACACAGATAAAAATAAATATTAGAAAAAGTTTGTATGGGGAGATTTTAGCCCATGTAGTCAGTTTCACATTGGCAACTACTATCTGAAGTTCAAACAAGATTATCAAATTTGAATATTCATAAACACATACACATTTGTTTCCACTTTAATTTATAAAGTTGCATTCCAGTGTAATTTTAATTTATATTTTTCCTTGAAAAAATTAAACAGCTGAGTTCATTTTCTTCAAATACACTAATTTCTTATGTTGAAAGAAAAATCAATAATCTCTGTACTATATTTATCTCATTCAACTTTGTTACATAGCAAATATAACAAACATTTCCTCCCAGGTAAAACAACAGAATGTTCTTAACAGAGCCAAACTACAGGATGTTCTGAAAGGAAGTAAACAACTCAAAAGTCTCAGGAAGTGCCTAAAACTGACCAAGCTCACCAGGTCCCTCCCTTCCAAAGCTTATTCAAGCCCCAAAGACTGTTGAGAGACACTTTTAGACAAGCTGAGCTGCCTAGAAGAGATTCAGACCAGCCAAGCTGCCTGGAGACCAGCCAAGCTGTGTGAAAGAGGCTCAGACCAACTGAGCTAATTGGAAAAGACACTCTACAACCTGTTGAACTGCCTGTGGGTTGTGCGGTACACTCCAGGCACCCCTGTTTGGTGATGCAGCTCTCTAAGTTATTTCTGCTCTTATATGTAACCCTTCACTTATACTGTTGCAAGTAACCACAATAAAATTCATTGGTTCACCAAGTTGGACTTCAGTAGTGTCCTTACTTTGGTCTGTCATTGGTCCCCTATCTGGGGTGACTAGATATTGTTCCCATCTCACAACACCATGGGAAGATTACCGTTCTGAGTTACTGTGATGGGTTAATCTTGATGCTCAACTTAATTGGTTTGAGAAATGTCTCAGACTGACGAAGGATACCTCTGGATATGTCTGGGAGGGCCCTCCACATACAGGCAGATCCTGAGGGCTCTAACTTGATCAGTGCATTTACTCCTTTGGTGGTTTAGAATCGGATGCCCTTACAGGGGAGGTGGGGTGGTAAAAGGTAAGAGATGGGGTCTAGTTGGAGGAAGTGGGTCACAGGGGACGTGCTCCTGGAGCTAAATCTTGCACTGGCCCCATCCTATGCCCATCCCTCTTACTGTATGCCGGGAAGGGAAAACAGCTTCGCCACATGCCCCGCCACCCTCATGTTCTGCCCAAGAGCACGGAGCCAAGTGACCATGGACTAAAACCCATGAATCCATGGCCAAATAAAACGTCCTCCCTTTAAGTTGCTTATATCAGGCATTCTGTCTCGGCTATATAAAAAAAATAGCAATACAGTTACTATTTACTGAATCTAAGATTAAGATCTAAGTTTCATCCATAAAATGTAAATTACAGGAGTTACTTAAGTACAAAAGAGTATTGGTATTCCGCAGATACTTGCAAAAAATTACAGCCAAGGGATGTTTCTGTGGGAACAGACTAGGATACGCTGGGGGAACCAACTTTTTACCCTAAAAATCCTACCCTCTAATTTTTATAGCCTTTCTCCCCAAATAGTCAAGGCTTACAAATGAATTTTCCAAACGTCAAATGCCTATGGAGCTGGAAAGAGCTGTTTTGTGGCATGTTTGGAGGTCCGCTTTCTTGTCAAATTCCCAGGGAAGACCTAGCATTAGTAATCTGGACTTAATTACCACTGCAATTCACCTAAACCAGGGCTCTGTGCTTAATTCCATTTTCAGAATAAAATTATACCAGGTTCAAAGGAAACTATTCAGACTTCCGTCCGTGTTTCAAATTTGTTAAATTGAAATCTTCTGTCAACAGGAACTCCCCAGTGCCCAGCACACAGCACAAAAGCAGACTCAGAATACACATGCACTCAAAGCCAAGAGTCTGGGCTTTCAGATTTCATAGAACATTTTATTTAAAGAAGTCTATCAGTCTTACCTTTCCAAAACTTCCTTTACCAATGGCCCGCAGAATCTGAAAATGGTCAAAGTTGACTGTAAAAGAAGTGACAAAAACATAATATAAAAGAAAAGGACCCAAAGCTTGTGCTTATCAAGATTAAAAAAAAAACCTGTTCTTTCAAAAATTTCAATGATTTTATTTTTCTACCTGATTACTTATAACAAAGGCAAGAAACATCATCATCCTTTCAAAGATGAAAGATAAAGTATTCTAATATCCACCAGCTTTTTATTATTTAGACACTTTCTGTGTGCCAGATCAAATATAATGAAAAATTGTAATAGTACGCTTATTAATTGTATTTTGAATAATTATTCTCATAGGTATTTCCTTAAAACACTGCACATTATTTTCCAATTCTTCATTAGGTTAGGCAGGTAAGTCTACTTACTTTAATCAAAATAATTAATTTTAAAACATTTATTTATTTAATGTGAGTGCACACATGCATGTGCATGTGTGTGCTCACCATGACACCCATGTGGAAATCGGAGGACAAAACTGCATTGACGGGACTCAGGAGTCAGGCTTTGCAGCAAATACTGTTACCTGCTGAGCCATCTCACCAGCCCTGAAGTAATTTCATGAACTATACTTTCTGAACATTTTAAAATTAAGAGTGAGAGAAGAGGAAAAGAAAGTCTTTTGTGATGGAGAAGGATGACCACGCTACCATCTCACCACTCTCTGCTTCTTATGTTAACTGTAGATTTCCTGATATAACCATCAAGAAGCACAAATGTCAACTGGTGTCCTCTCTCCACACTTACCTGCAGCCTGTGGCTTTCTCTAGTTTTTTTAGAGGACAATTCTTACAAAAGAATTGGAGAAGGATGGTTGATAGTTATCTTTCTTCAGAACATTTCATACTCCTCAAAAGAGGAGAAAATAATTTACTTCAGAGACTTCAGAAAACAGTGTGGATTTTCCTCATTGTCACTTAACTCAGGATAGAGCTTTATTATAACCACTTTATGGTATTACTCCAGGTTACTCATGTCTTCATTTTTTGATGTTTAACAGTTAGCTTACACAATCATATGGCATACATTTAGCTGTCTCTTAAATAAACATGTTTTATAGGTATCATTTTGGAAGGGCAATGCTTCACCAACTAAAATTTCTTCTTTATAATTTTATATAATAAAGTTTCAAGCTTCGGCCTAAATGTAGTGTTTATGTACATTTGGGTATAGTATAAGGCTAAGTGCCTGCTATGAACTAAATGTTTTTATACTCTCAAACTTCATTATGTTAAAACTAATAAACAGTGTAACAGTAATTAATAGCTTCAGCTAATTAAAAGTTAGAACCTTTGGATGATCAGGTCATGAGAATGGGGCTCTCAGGAGCAGGATTAATCCTCTTATAAAAAGAGTTCCAGAGGTATACAGTCTCCCTTGTACCATGCAGAACATAGAATGAAACATCTACAAAACAGGGAGAAGCCTCTCACCAGATACCATATTAATGCCATCTTGATCTTCTACTCCCCAGACTCAGAATTGTGGGAAATGTATTTCTGTTGTTTATAAGCCGCCCAGTATAAGGAATTATGTTATAGTAGTTAATGGATTGAGGCAGTGTCAAGTTCTAACACAAATCCTTTTGTGAATGTCTAAGGACTGTCTGGATGGAGGAATGATATATTAGTAGAATAATTCATCTAATTATTGGAAAGGATGTATTCCAACAGATATATTCATTTATTCAGTAAGTATTATGGAATGACTGTCTTATGTTGCCACTCAGCAGTGAGACATGGTCTCTGCACTGGTGGGGTTTCACCTGATATAAACAGACCGAACAATCAACACAATCTAACTAAATGTGATACAGGCATTGGAGAATAGTTAGAGAATTATGAGAAGGGCATTAATCTATGTAGAAGTCTGTAGAATCTATGTAGACAGAGTTCCTAGACAGAGTTCCTAGACAGAGTTCCTAGACAGAGTTTTTAGAGTTCCTAGAGACAGCTCAGATCTGAAAAGTAAACAGAAGTTTCCCAGATTCAGGAAGGGTAGGAACAGGACAGGGGTAGTTGAGGAACATGGGATCAGGCAGGAGGGAGACTGTCTTTAAGATGGGAACATGGCTGCAGTGGGAGTTAGTGCATGAGGAAGGGTGGCAATAGTCATCAATATTTCCACTTGCCTAACATGCACCAGGTACTGGCTGGATGTGAAAAATAAGACTTGAGATCTGGTCCAGGGAAACCACAGAGTAAAGGAATTATCCTCGACGCGATGCTTTCATACATAGATGTGATGTGTGTAAACCAGAGTTTATATAGCTAAGGAGTTTATTAATTCTCTAGTAAGAAGCAGCATCTCTTGAGCAGGTACACAAGGCAAGGACACAAAATTCAGTTGCCTCCCCCACCTCATCTCACTGAAAACCCACCTTATTTAAACTACCACGTGACCCTTCTCTTCTATGATGCTTCTGCTGAAAGAAATTTTGTCTCCCCAGATAATTTTTAATCAGAATGTCACCGGGTTAGGTTTCTGGATTTCAGACATTAGATTATAAACATTTTGAAAGCTGACCTAACCACCAAGGCCACTTGAGGCTGACTGAGAAGAGTCAACTCTGTCATAAATTCAGGTTTTTAAAGGGACTATAATGATAAGTGAGGATACCAGTGGCCAAGCAAAGGAAATGAAGATGATGGAGTGGCCAGAGCCTCTGAAGGACACTGTGGTGACAAACTCGGTCTCACTGGATTTTTGCTTGAATCACTCACACAGCTTGGCTGAAAGCAATTAATAAACACCTTCAGCATCACCACTAATCGCCAAATGAATAGATGTCAGAAAAATTTCAGGCTGTGGCCATTTGGACAATTCCTTAACCTAGGTTTCTTATCACCAGGAGCAAAAGCACTGGACTTGGAAATAATGCCCAATCCCAGGTATCTTAGTCTTGACCCTAGAGAGGAGCATCTCAGAGGTTCCTAAAAGCTAGTGTAGTACACAGAAGGATTTTAGCTGAAAGCCACATAGCTTCAGCTACTACTATAGTATAGGACTACAAATATTTTAAGGAACTTACTTTCAACAATATCAAAGTGATTGAAATTCAGCAAAACAGAATACAGCATTGCTTCATGAAGTGACACATTTCGTTATACAGGTTGGCTGACATTTCTTTAAAAAGGCAACAAAATTGAACCATTACTGTACAGTCAAGGGTTAAGAGCACTATACAAAATGTACTAGTGACTTTGATTTTTAGAAGTAATGAAAGTAGTCAATCACTGTGAGGGCCGTGAAGCTGGAAAATATTTCATTTTCTCTCTTTTTCTCTTTCACCTTTATATTGAAGCACATTCATTCCACGCTTTGCAAAATAATCAGAAAGTGTTTAAGATATTTCCAGAATCTTAAGACCATTTTCAAAAGCCCAAGGCCATATAATTTCTTTATGCCACATAATTCTATAGCATCACATTATAGTCTAGGTCATAAGGCTTAGTGCTAAAACAAGATGTCTCCCAGGATCCTCATGACAATCTTGATCCAAAGGCTGTCCTGGGACCATACTTCCCACAGGATGAGGAGACTTGGGAAGAAAGCGCAAGATAGCATGTTTCCCAAGGCCCTTTGCTGCAGTGTGTTTTGCTTCCAACAGTCTTTCTTCTTTAACTACTGCATTTTACTTCCATGGCTTACTCCCCTTCTCACCAGTTGGTCTAGCTTTTTCTCAGCATTTGAAAATTGAAGGATAAGAAAGTACGGGAAATAAGGATTTCTCTCTGAGGATCTGATTGAATGCATGGCTCCAGTGCATTTGCTTCTGCCAAAGTAATTGCCACAAATTGAATCGAGCTCATCTCCAGCTAGGCAGTTAGCACAGGCATCGCAGCTGAAGAGCTCTAACCTGACCATGTCTGGAGGCCTCAGACTTCCCGGCACAAAGGTTAGTGGTCCCAGTGCCCTGCCCACCAATTCGGAGCTCTTTCTCAACCACCTGGACTATTAGATGACTGTAGGTTTATGTGAAAAAGACACTGGTTTGATGAAAATACGTACTGAAGAAGCAAATGTCAGAAGATAAAAGTTCCAAATAACTTGAGTTTCAGGAACCAAATTTCAGTGGATAACAGTACATGCATGGTTGCATGTAAAATTATACTAAAGTGAATTCTACTCTATCCTGCCTAAGTATATATCTCCTTTATAATCTTCATTTACTGCTTTTACACTTTCACTGATGGCATCTTTGTTTTTATGCTTTCTTTAAGAACCACAGGGTCTTAAATTCAGACATTAAAAAATAATATCAAAGATATCACCAGTACCTGTTATATTGGAACACTGGGAAGGGGGGTGGGTTGTGGATCAATGTGGGCATGAGCTAGGAGCTGCAGTACAGGAGAACGAGAAGGGCAAATCAAATTGTAGGCCTGGGAATGGGCCCAAGGGAGTCCTAGTCCAATTCTTTCATACTAGAAATGAAAAGTCTGACCCAAAGACTTTATATAAATTGCTAGAGAGTACATTGTTTATTCAACCATTCACTTGACAAATATCTAGCCGCTGCTTGCTTTCTGTCTAGCTCAAGATTTGAAATAGAGAATAAGGAACATATTTCACCCCTGCCAGTGTGCTGTGCTGTTGGCTATCGCTTTGCCCTGGAAGTTTCTTGCCGTCATCCTTTACATGCTAATTTCTATTTCCTCATGTGAAATTTCATTCAAAAGAATATACTTCTCACTGAAGCCACTTCAGACGTAGAAGATTCTCTTGTTTTGTGTGCTATGAACAGTGATTATATGCCAATTATAGAACGTCCTATCCCCACAAAAGTCCTTGAACATTTTGAGAATTTCATACATGAGCACTGTATTTACACAATTCCCATTACTCCCTCTTCCCCTCCAACCCCTCCCACATACTTCCCACTCCTTCTCAATTTCTTGTCTTATTACTGTTGTTACATATACATACAAATATGTTTTTGTGTATACATATATATATATATAGAGAGAGAGACTGACAGGGAGAGAGAGAGACTGACAGAGAGAGAGAGACACAGAGAGAGAGACTGACAGAGAGAGAGACAGAGAGAGAGAGAGAGAGAGAGAGAGAGAGAGAGAGAGAGAGCACTGAATCCATTTAGTGGTGCTCATATGTGCATGTGTGTAGGGCTGACCACTTGGGATTAAATAACTTATCAGGTATCTAGTTTTTGGAGAAAACTGATTCTCCCTCAGCCTGTGGGACTTGCCTGCAGCTCTTCATCTAGAAGTAGGACCCTGTGAAATTTCCCTCCTCCACATTGGCATGTCAACTGATGTTGTTATCATGTGGCTTTTCTTTAGGTAAACACACTGTGCAGATTTCATTTCATGGGTACAGCTTTCCTGTCATGTCTAGAAGACACTATCTAGCTCAGTTACTCTAGTCTTCTGGGTTTTACAATCTTTCACCCCCTCTTCTATACAGTTCCCTGAGTCCTAGATAGAGGGATTACATTGTAGATGTATCAACTGGGGCTAGGCACCATAAGGTTGCTTATTCTCTGCAACATAATAAAGGATATATATGACAAACACATGACCAACATCATTGTAATGGAGAAAAATTTGAAGCATTTCCATTAAAATCAGAAAGGAGACAGGGCTGTCTACTGTTGCCACTCCTTTTCAATATGCTTGAAGCCCTAGTTTATAGCAATAAGACAAGAGAAGGAAATTGAAAGGATACTATTAGGAAAAGGAGACAAATTATTCCTCTTTGCAAATGATATATTACATTTGCGGTTCTATAAATTTCACCAGAAAACTTTTTTTTTAAATCTTAATTTTGTGGCTGTCTTTATCAGTGCCAGTACACTTTCGTTTGGAAGATGATGACAGTGTTAAAAATATCAGAGTCTGGATCATTATTTTCCTTTCCTTTTTCTAGAATGAAAGCTCTTCAAGCACAGAGGCAATGCAGAATGGTAAATATGAAGGAAATAAAGTGAGATGTAAAGTGGTGTGCCAAGGTAGGGCTGTAAGTGGATGTGCTTGTCATCTTTGGAATCGTGTTCAATGGAGCTGGAAATAGTGAGTAGGATTTTAGGCCTATCTGGCTAAATTCATGTTTCAAATAAAGAACTGAGTGCATTAATGCCAGGCAGGAGTCTTTGGCAACCAAAGGCTTCAGAGGGCAGAAGCAATGAAAAATGGGAAAGGGGATGAATTTGAGAGCTGCTTGGAGGAAGAAGCAAAGGAAGAAGAAGAAACTAGTGCTGATTAGTTGGTGAGACAGTTCACAAAGGTTGGGAGAACAGGCAAGGCTGAGAATGGAGGGAAGGATGCTGAGTTCATCTCAGCATACAGTGATTTAGCTAGAGTGGGCACTCAGTGCTCCGCAGACATTTTTGTTTCAGGCCCTCATCTGTTCCCTTTCATATGTCAGTTTTCTTCTCCAAGTGCCTTGCTTCATTTTCTTTCAGATCATGTTAGGAGAGAAATATCTTGACTCTAAAACACTGGAAAATGAGTCTATCAAGTGGGAAGTGTCTGACCTGCGCATAGTCCAGTCTACTCGCATGCCCAGTCCCAGCAGGCTACTTCAGAGTGGCAGTGCAGGTCTGTCCCTTCTGGAGATTCCGTACAATGGACATCACACACTATACAGACTTCCATTTTTGGCTTTCTTCACTCAGCAGGGTGTCTGAGGTGCTGGGCAGTAGCAGGCTTCTCATCACTGAATGGCATTGTATTGTCACTAGCTGATGACATCTGAATCATTTTTCCTTTTAACATGCCTCACTGTCTGTGTAGACATGCACCAGGATCTGCTACATGGCCCCCAAGGAACTTGAAGAGAAAAAAGAACCTAATAAACTTGCTGATTGATACCCATGATGTTTGCTGTGCTGTGAGAACAAAAATCCTTTGTATCTAACTAGGAAACTCAGCATGCTTGCCAGTATTCCTAGAAGAGCAAAAACTAATTTATAAGCAAGACAGAATGACATCACAGAACAGTAACTCCTCCAACTTTATTCATTTTTTAAAATTTGATAAGTCTAGGGTCTTTGATTCCTCTGCATTATGTGCTAATCTTTCTTCTGCTAAGGAAGAAAAAAATTTCCTACCCCAAATAAATTCTTTATAGTCCAATTTCATTTCACTTCTGGTGTTTATGCAATGCTGCTCCAACCACAAATCCTTCTCCAAGGATCTCTCCCTCTTCGTGTAGATTCCTTTCCATTAGAGATTAATATGTTCCCAAGCCTTCAACTTTAAATAATAAACTAGTCTCTATTTATCCCATGTCCCTTTTAACTACCTTACTTCAACCCATTCCTTTATATCCAAGCTCCTAGAAAAGGTACACTATATATAACCTCTGAATAACAGTACATGTTTGCTTCATGTATAACTGGATAAAAGCATATAATGAGATGTATTTACAATATCTATGTCTAAAACAATTATTTACATATTAATGCATTAATTAACCTAATATGCTAGTAGGACAATGTGATAGTTTAGCATTAACTGATGACCTGATCAAATCTAGAATCACCTGGGAGATAGGTCTCTGGGCATGTTTGTGGCGGATTATCTTGACGTGGGAATACCCACTCTCTGTGGGTGGCACCATTCCCTAGATGGCATCCTGAACTGTATAAATAGAGAAAGGAAACAGAGCAGCAGCATGCATTCATCAATTTTTGCCTCTTGACAGCAGATGCAATGTGATCAGCTACTTCTAGCACCTGCTGCCTTGACTTTGCTGCCTTGATGAACTTTGCCCTTGAACTATGAAGCAGAATAAACCCTTTCAGCTCACATAGTAGGAGCATGGCATGATAGAAGAATCATATGCTTTGAAATATAACATATTGAGTCCAGTTCTAATTATTATTAGACAACTCTGTAAGCTGGGTGACTTAATGAAAGTTAATGGAATTCTCTGATCCTCAGTTATTTTGTCTGTAAGAAGTATAGACCACTGTCAGTTGTGTTGCTGGTGAAGATTTTCTCCCACTCTGTGAGTTTTTTCTTCACTTCCTTGGTTGTTTCTTTGGATTTACAAAAGGTTTTTAGTTTAATGGGATCCCACTTGCTGATTCTTCACCTTAATTCCTGAGCAACTGATGTCCAATTTAGAAAGTCCTCTCCTACACCTATATCTTGTAGGTTACTGCCAATGTTTTCTTCTAACAGTTTCAGAGTTTCAGGTTTCACACTGATGTCTTTGATCCATTTGGAGTTGACTTTTGTGCAAGGTAAAAGATAAGGGTCTAGTTTCATTCTTCTACAGGTGGAGATCCAGTTTTGCCAGCACCATTTGCTGAAGATGCTGTGTTTTCTCCAGTGAATGTTCTTGACCCCTTTGTCAAATATGAGGTGGCTGAAATTGCACGTACTCATGTTTGGGCCTTCAATTATGTTCCATTGATCTACAGGTCTATTTTTGTGGCAGTATCATGCAGCTTCCATGACTATAGCTCTGTAATATAGTTTGAAATCTGGCATAGTAATTCCCCCCAGCATTGCAGAGGTGCTTTGGCTATCCAGGGTCTTTTGTGCATCCATATGAATTTTAGGATTTTTTTTTTCTAATTCTGTGAAGCATGTCACTGGGATTTTGATTGGCATTTCATTGAATCTATAAATGGCTTTTGGTAGGATGGTCATTTTTACAATATTAATTCTCCCAATCCATTAGCATGGAAGGTCCCTCCATCTACTGGTGTCTTCCTCAATCTCTTAAATTATTCAATGTAGAAATCTTTAATGTCTTTGGTCAGGTTTTTTATGAGATACTTTTCTTTTTTTTTTTTTTTTTGAGGCTATTGTAAATGGAAGGGTTTCCCTGTACTCGTTCTCCAATTGCCTGTTATAGGTATATAGAAAGGCTACTGATTTTTATAGATTAATTTTATAACCCAGCCACTTTGCTGAAAGTGTTAATCATTTCTAGGACTTTTCTGGTGGAACTTTTAGGATCTCTTAGGTATAG